TTATATATGCATAATTATATACAAATATATACATAATTTATGATGAATAAAAAACATGTAATCACGCAAACGTCAAAAACCAAAATTCCACAGGATGCTATCAAAAAGGCAAATTGATAAATTCCAAAACAGCATAATTTATTGCAGACATTACAAAAAACTCTGCTCCACCCCACTGTTCTTTAGGCTTTAGTCACAAAAGTTTTTACAATCTTCTCAAAGGGGACGCCACGTAAAACACAACCTACACAATCTAATGTAGACAATCAAGGGTTAAACTATAGCAATATAGAAAAAAAAATTTTTTTTTCAAACACACCCTTGTGACACACCCTTGTTTACTCAAAGGTCATTTGTGACATATGTCCGTGTCAGTTTGAGCTTCATTTTACATTTTACATTAGCATTTAACACAATCTTTTTCAGAGCATTTTATTTCTTACAGTGCAAAAAAAAAAAAAACTTTAAATACATAAAATCCACTATTAATATTTGGGTTAAAAAAATATATTTTATGTCTCAAAGGAGTTCATCTAATTTAATTATGCTACATATAATTACCAAAACCAATCTTCTGCATGGAAGGAGCAATCATTTCAGTAAGACATTGGCACCGGCGGGGCTAAGGCATAATTTACATACGGTCTGGAGTGACAGGAGGAAGAGAGAGGGGTAGAAACAGACATGAATGCCCCTATGGGAAAACAACAACCGTCTGACAGTGATGGTCTTCAGAAAGCATTACTAAAGAAAAGTTGATTTTCTTTAATTATAATCTGACAAAACCCCTGCTATAATTAAAACAGAACAATGTTTTGGACGTATGTGTTGTCAAATCAGCCACATTCATGACAGCAGGTTGTAAAAACATGAGCGTACAGCATGTAGGGAGTGAACAAGGTGGGCTGTGATGGTTTAAGCATCACAGCAATAATTGCTTTTCACAGGTTGAGGACGAAGAAGGTCCAGGAGATATGCTGAGGAATATCACCCCGTGGCCCCACACTGGCACACTGTACACAAACACTCCATTTCGAAAACTCTCCGCTCTCTTCCTAGATACCCCCCGCAGTGTTTAATCCCACACAGAGCCTCTCTCAGTTCCGCCAGGTTTCGATTGCTGCAAAAATCTATGAAATATTTTCCCACCAAAATAAAGAGGAACAATGGATGAGATCCACACATCAAGGTCCTCCTAATTACAGAGTTCACACAAAAGAGCTCCTTTGCTTCATAGCCGGCATAGCAGAAGGAGACGGCCTGGAAGGTGAGAACAAATGGATGGTGGGTGATGAAGGTCGTGTACTTACTGCTCCTTGTTCTTTCCTCTGTAGCATCAGCTTCATAAGTCATAAACCCCACTCCTTGCAAAGTACAGTATTTATTTTTAAAATGTAGCTCTGAGTATTTTTTTCCCCTAATTCCTTATTTTCCTTTTTTTTAGCTTGCATTTGTAAAACAGATTTGTCCTTGAATTTTCTCATGGAAATGGAGATAGATATTGACCAAAACGTGCTAAATACATGTATATATTTTGATCTAAGTGGAAAAAAAATCATTCAATGCCCTTAACTTCCCCACACTCGCTGGGTCCCACGTAAGAACCGATGATAACAGGCAATGCTGACACCTCTCTAATGAGGTTGTCGTCCTAAACATATGTAAAATCCTCCTTTAAGGTCATCTTCAGTATATCGTGTCAGGAAGGACAGCATTTACTTCCACATCTGCTACTCAGCGGGGGAAAAAAACCCAAACTGCCCAGTTAACAATAAAAACAGAAGAGTGCCTTTTGTGTGCAGTAACTTATAAAGTTATGTCGTTATAAAGAGACAATCCAGTGCAAACAAATGTAAATCAGTAAAATGATGCTTGTTAAAAACGGTCATCTGCCATCTTAAAAGATGACTTTAGCACCAGGAGTAGTGCAGCGTACATACTTCAGCTGGTATTATGGTATTTATACTTGGTGAAGAGGGATACGACTCTACACTTATACTTTATGTGGCACCATGAAATCGCTTTTATAGCCGACCATAGGGAATAGACGGCATGTTGAGCTTTATGGCTGGCTGTTGTAAACATATTGACTATGATCTAATTGCTACTTAAAATGTATTGTCTCACTTCCAATAATCAGCTAAGAAAATTCCCCTAAAGAACAACAGGCGTCAGTGAAACTCTTCTGTCTTACCAGATAGTGGTCGAAGGTATAAGGTTCTTATGGTCTGAGGTAGACATGTCTTTTACTGTTTACTTTTACTATTAATATCTTACAGTAAATACAAGTCTCAACTCTTGTTTCTTTAAGATGTCCATATTTTGACATTGGCACCTGCAACAACCGCCAAGCAAATGGCTTTGCTTGCCATTACACTTTAAACTTTGTCTTCTTTGTTCTTCATAGCAAATCATTTAGTTTGGTCAGTTACCTGTGTTTACAGCGGGCAGGTTGAAAGACCAACCTGGGCAACAAGTACCAGCCAAAAAGAATTACTGGCAGTTAGTGATAGGCTTTTTGGTTCTCTGGTATTGATATACTGATACTCACATGAGCATGATTACACTCATGAAGTATTTATACTAATAAATAAATGGAAAAAACAACGCACGTGTCACTTCCATAGCTTTCGGGCTTTAATGCTGCAACACCCTCTTGTGCCGTAAAAAATTTAACTGATCCATTCACGTCACCTGACCGCTGACCAGAAGACAGCAGTGACTCAATGTGATCAAATCTGCTAGATATTAATGGTTTTAATCAAAGTAAAACAACAACAGAAGAAGATGAATGTGGTCGGGACAGTAAAACAACACTAGGAAAAATATCTCCTTGAGAAGTTTAACATGTTCAAAGTTTAGGTGTGATAAAAAAAAATTCTGAGCAAATTGTTCCCTGAGAGTACGTTGTGAAAAAGAAAGACATTCTTTCTGAAATAAAAGAATGTGTTCTGTTTACAGATGCATCTGTGTTCCAGCCTATTGTGTGGAGAAACAGATGACATAGTCTTCATTCCAAAGATTTTCAGTTTCCAGACTGTAAATACATAAAGCAGAAAGCCAGCATCTGTAATGTTATCAGTAGCTCTGATTTATGAGTTACTTTTGTGAAGGCTCCCTTCATGTTGAGAAGTTTAACATGTTCAAAGTTTAAACTTTTGTGAAGGCTCCCTTCATATGGAGGACTTTTTTATATTCTTAGAAAGACAAGCGATACCTTTAATACAATGTCTTTTCCCAGGAACTCAAAAATATTTTTAGCAGGACCATGACTGCGCTTATTGTAGTAGAGAATGGCAGTTTAAATAAGAACAGAATGAACCTTGTTCCAGGTCAGTTTACTGTGAATCACTGTCTAGCTGCAGATATATTTGATTTTTCATACAATGAACTGCATCAATAGTACGTAGAATCACAAACTTCCAACCACTTGCTGTATTTCACTCACCTACGTAACTGAATTCTATCACCATCTGCTGCCTTCTGTGATTACTGCAAAGAGCTTGAACTAAAAGCACATCTTATGTCGTATCTCTGGACTGCAGACCTCTGAGGTATGACATGACCTTGAAGGGTCAACAGGACACCACATGCATTGTCATGCTTGAAGATATATACTGGAGAAGTACCAGATATTTTTGAGTATTTCCATGTGTTCCATTGTTGCCTATGTGTATGCGTGTTTGTGTATGTGTATGTTTGAGTGCCCAGATGGTGACTTCTCTGACGGGAGCATGTGTATGTGTGTATGTGTGTGTGTGGGTGGGTGTGTGAGCTGTAACTCAAGAGGCTGGATGGAGGACAGACTAAGTGGCTCTCGGGGGAGAGTCGATCAGTTGTAAAGACAGTGCAGAGGGACGCGGCAGCCCTAGCTAACACTAACAACCAAAACAGACACACTGTCCTGGTTAATGTAATTGCTATGGACAGACAGCCATGAATGACCTCTCTCAGTTTCTCTCTCTCCCTCTCCCTGTCCTAAACATGCTTTCACCCTCGATATAAGACAACGGAACAGGATAGAGTGACAGTGGAGTGATAAAGTGACAGAAACATAAAAAAGGTTGCAATCTCGTATCTCACATTCCACATCGTTACAACTCCTTTGTCCTTTGGAGGCATGTGTACAGCAGCGCTCATCAACTGGTGGCTCGTGTGCAGAATCCGGCCTGGAAACCCCTCCAATCTGGCCATAGACTAGTTTCTAAAAAAAAACACCAAATAATAATGTTAGACAAAAGAGTGATTTTAATTTGATTTTATTTAAGTGACTGGACAACAAGGTATGCTTGAAACTTTTCCTTAAACTACTTACTGCTCATCTAGTAGGTGTTGTTCATTAACATGGTCTTCCTGCTTTTGTTAGTTATTAACTTTCATTCACATCAGGTAAACTTCCCTCGTGATAGCAGGCTGAGAGAAAGTTTCACAGCAGTCGTTGTGTACTACCTGATTGTAATGGTAGCTCTGGCTCTACCAATTGGATGATTTCTGTGGTTTATAGCCTTTTATTACTGACTTGCTGTAGCGGTCTGAGGGATTCAATCTAGAATTATACTTGTTAAGTGACCGCGTGAGGTTCTTTGTGGATTTCCTTTTTCTTTTAATAGGAAATCATAAAAAGCAAGAAAAGCAAAAGTGACCACTGACAGTGAGAGAATTCTAGACAAAATTTGAAGCCAGTGTACGCCCCTATAACAGTGTAGGTGTTGCCCTATGACCTGCTCCAGGATCAAACTGCATAGAAGATAAGAGAGAAGGGAGTCAAAGGAGAATTGTCATCTTTTTTTAAAACGTCAGTGCAATTTAAAAATTGCCTCCACCAAGAACATGATCCTACTTCTTCCCAACATCTGGATCTGCTTTTTTAAATCATCTCATTCCCGTTGCACCCACGTTAGGCATCATCCAAAGTGATGAAAGGAAAAGAGGAATGCCAAGTGATAACCCTTGTCCCTTCGGATGTCTCTATCCAGTTCCCAATGCCGCCTTTGTTTCCACTGTCCTCTCCGTTTACCGTCTCTAATGGCACGACTCGGAGATCCAGCTGCTGTCAGCTGCACCGAGCCTTCAGGCTGATCTCTCACTCTGTGGAATGTGCTGCACAATAATGAGCTCAGCTCCCAGGCAACACATTTCTCCATATTGTCTCCAACAGTCCTGCTCTCCTCCAGGAGTGAAGCACAGGTGAGTTGACAAATGGTGAAAGAGCTTTTTAATTTGTCACATGAATCATTTTTTTTCTCAAAGGGAGGGCGATTTTTTAAATAACTAATTAATATGCAGGAAGTCATACAGAGACAGCATTTAGCTGAGGAAATCCATTATTAATTAGAATTAATTAACTAAAGCTCTACATCTACAGAGTTTCCAGTAAATGACAGGCATCCTCCAGGGACACAGTCTTCATCAAAGGACGTATGCAGCTGTGTTTGGCAGCATTTACGCTGACTCTTGACCTCTGAACCGGAGTCATTACTTACACCTGTCAGTCAGTGGAGGCCTGGGACTGTGACAGCTGACGGGCGAGTAAGACATGCCTAGCACCCCCCAATTCTAGACCTTGCACTCCTTGGTGGTCACAATAATCATAACTCAAGGACTGACCTTTGACACATCGCTGATTACACCAAGGAAATGTGGTCTGAGACAAAGAGCACAGTGTGGGCTCATGTATCACTGGCTGCTGAAGTGTTTTCATGTTGGAAACAAACATCATTAAGGCCACCCCGATGGTATTCCCCAGTCTGGTCCGCCCACGTGTTCTCCTGGCTACAGGTTCTCATGTTGCCGTGTCCACCTGGTGGAGAACACAGGAGGGTTCGTGTAAAAGTGAAAGGGGCCGAAACACAAAGAACACAAACTGCATTTGTTTCGTGTAGTCAGGAAAAGTCACGAAGCAGGAAGGACTCAACAAATGCAGCACTGTAGAGACCATTATCAGTTGCACAAGGTTTATTCATCAGGTCCAAAACCTTAAACTCATCAGGCACAAGCAACCACAAGCAGGAACAACATAAACTGAATGACACAGTGATCCAACAAAGACTGAGCTGTAACTTAACTCATTAACTAACCCAGGATTACCCCATTAGAATATTTTCTCATTACAAACTCAGTGTATCACTTCTAATAGGTTGCCTATAAAAAATGTTATCCAACCCACCCTTCCCCATGCAGCTACACATTTTTAACAACAATGAAAGCAATTCATTTATTCATTAGATTTTTAAATTTTTTTTTTTACTTTTGATGCATGAGTGCCTTTCAGATTTAATGGCCATATGCTGCTGCTATTGAAGCGGTGGCTGCCTTTGTTATCGCTGATGATTGTTTTTAATCTTCAACATCAAAAAGCCATTTCAAGGCAACCCACGGCTGAGAATCAGTCTGTGCTTGTGTGTGCGTGCAGCCCTTTCACAGGGGGCATATCCTGTGCCCCATACCCCCCTCCGGTTCCTCCACCCTACCCTCCATGCCATTTAAGCAAATGTTCACATTGTGAACCTTATTCATTATGAACATCATTTTTTTTATGTACACATTTAAGTACACAAGTCTGTTAGTCTGGGTGTGTCTGCAACCCAGCTGGTACAAACAAAAACTTTCTTTTTTACGGCAAAAACGTTTGCCCCTAAACTAACCCAAGTTATCAAGACAAATGAAATGCAACATTTGATCTAATGTTCTTTCACACTCATGTGTTGAATCATATGTTTTATCACCTATTAAAAATCACAGTACAGTGAGAGGCTGTGACCACTGAGGTGTATGTTATGTAACCAGCCTTCTCCTTTAAGTGTATCCCTATGGCAGTAAGTAAGCTGCAGACTCTGCTTTCAGGTAATTGATGCAGTGTCCTGCTGGCTCAGGTCCTCAGAGACACTGTACTATTGTAATCTGTAACCAAAGATTGCTGCCTGAATGAGATGATTCACTCTGAGTCAGGCCAATTACTTAGTACCAAGACACCAGGCTGAATTTGTGGGAATATGATATGTGTGTGTTGGTGTCTGCATATCTGAAATGAACATGAGGAATGTTTTCTTATTCTAACGTGTGATGGAGATGCTGAAGTTGTCTGTGTATGCATGTGCGTGTGGGTGTGTGTGTGTTTTCACCTTGGGCCAATTCCAAAACTTGCTTTTACTGCTATCCAAAGCATTAAGCAACTATTTTTCTGTCGGCCGTGCACAGTTTGCCCTTTGTGAGCGTCAATGCCTCGTCTTTTGAAAAGGTTGAGTCTCCGAGCGTTACAAAGATGTGTGAGCATTTCATCAGTCCTCAGTCCTGAAAACACTGCTTTTTTTACCTTGCTTTAACCATGAAATGTTTCAGTAGGTGTCTCTGAGAGTCTGCATGTTCGACATATAAAGATTGCACACAGCGTATCACCTTTTGTGCTCCGTCTATCATCTGTTTGTGCAGTTTGCTTTTCTCTGACGGTGCTGTGTTACGTGGACAAGTACACTTGTTTTTTCTCCTCTTTCTGCTGTTCAGGCAGCTTAGCCGATTACTGTGGAGACACTAAGGCAGGGGTCCGTGTCTTCATTGGAGAGCCAAAATTCTATTTTTAATGCATTTTTTTATGTATTCATTAACTAAATACAGTATTTCCTAATGTGGGTGGAGTTAGGCATGGCCCTTCCTCACAATAAACAGCAGCATTCCAAGCTTTTAGTATCTAATATTAATCATGTTGGAAAAATATTTAATATATCATGGATAGGGCTGTGCATCTGATTACCTGAGCAGTGAGACGTGTTTACAGTTTAGAATTTAAAGAACATGACTTTTTTTTACCATGCTGTTTATTTTAATCCAGGACATCATGTTCCACTAGAATGCTAGAACGATAGGTGGTGCTGTGCACAGGCACGCAGACGGCCCAAAGAGACTGCATTTCCAAGAGAAATATACGTTTTAGCTTTTGTGGAAGAGAATAGTATCAACAAACAAGACAACAGAAAAGAACAACAGGAGAGGAAAGAGAGTGGTGGAGTAAAGACAAAGGCTGAGGGAGAGACAAGAAAAGAAGAAAAAAGAAACACTGTATGTAAACTTAAAAAAAGACAGAAGGATGAAAGATAAAAGAACACAAAAGAAGAACAGAGGCACTACATAAGTCCAGACCTAACAGGCTGACTGTCAAAACTGTCAAATAGATTGCGAGGGACTTCACTGAAGTTTTAAAATCAACATTTGATGCATTCTAGAAGCCACAGTCGTGATACACAGTAATGACTAAAATTCTTTTAAACACATGCGATCTGTGATTACCACCAATGACTCTTAGCTCTGCCACAAAACTCTTCAACCATGTATTTTGAGAATATTTCAAAATACTGCGTACAGCTTAAGGTGACATGTTATGCTTTTGCAAGAAACATGAAGGGAAAAAATACATTTTCACGTCCTTAAAAATATCACAGTGAGTGACATTCTTCATCGTGCAGCATTTATTCTGTCGATGTTTGTTAAACCTGCCAAAGAATAAAAAAAGACTTCATCAAAGTTAGTCTTCTGTTTGCTTCACTTCTATGTATAGATCACAGGCAGCTTCTGAGGATACTTGTAGCCAACACCTGAGCTCCGCAGGTACACAGCAGGAGGACGGACTGTCTGAGCAGCTCCACATGTGTGTTTGGGAATTTAAAGAAAAAAAAAAGTTTACTTCTATATCAGTCACACCCCCAGGGTAAATGAGCAGCATACGAAAGTCAGAGTGAGAGAAGTGAGTGGCATTTAAAAGTTTACACAAAAACAAAATGCTTTGTATTCTGGGAAATGGAATTACTACACAATACTAAACAGGAAATATACTTGTAGCTCATATCAATGATTGCATACTTAAAAAAATATTTTTTTTTTAGTTTTTTGAAACACAAGTCCAAGGAAATCTATTACATTCAATAAAAAAACATAAAATTAGGTTAATTATTTTTTTTGCTCAACATGACACGACAAGTGACCATGCCACTTCTTATCCTTGTTTTTTCAGCACAAGCCATTACAGTACGTATCTGTTGTGAAGGAATTATATATGAACTGGCAGTTGTAGGACAGATGTGGGGGGGGGATCAAACTCCAGGCGGTAATGGATGTTTCAAAACCCCGATCAGACTCCTAACTGAAATAGGATTTTAACTCCACAGAGTTCAGGCTATAAGTGTTTATTTTCATTCAGTAGTCAAGTGCTGCTGATGACATGTTAACAGACCTGCCAGAGGATGCAAATCATGTCGGCTTTTCTTATTTCACTGCCAGGTGGAGTTCTCAATGTGTCATTCAAGCGACAACCATTTATGCCGCCGAGCCTTAAAAAATTATAATTGAAACTTGTGAAACGACACCTTTGTCAAGCTATGGGTACCATCGCTGTCAATCTGACAGGCCACCAAATCCCTATTTCAAAAAGTATGTCATGTGTACAAATTAAAACGGCTCCTCTTTTCTGTAACTCACAGGAAACTTCTTCTTTTTCTTTCGGCTTTGTCCCTTTTTCAGGGGTTGCCACAGCAGATCATTGATTTCCATCTCTCCCTGTTCTCTGTATCTTCTACTCTGACTCCAACTACCTGCATGTCCTCCCTCACTGCATCCATATATCTCCTCTTTGGCCTTCCTCTCTTTCTCCTACCTGGTAGCTCCATCTCTAACATTCTTCTACC